CAGGATCAGAAATGAGGAACAGAAAAGCAGGTGTGGGCAAAGGAGATTTCACAAGAATAGCCAGAGGTGCAGAGGAACTCAAGAATGCCTGTTGTTGATGCAGGCAAAGGAGCAGCATGTCGAAAGGATGAATTCATATTATTAACCTCTAGTAAGTAATAAGAATTAAGAGAAAGACATTAAATAAGACAACTTTTGAAGGAAGAATGAGAGGTCAGAGAAGCTGTGGTAATGCCAACATAAAGACATTAGTGAGAATTTGGAGCAGTGTGGAGGTAAAATCACAGCACACCGTAAGACAGTGGAATGGAAGGCGGGGTCACCGTCTTTTTTCTATCTGCACAATTTTTCTTACATTTGCCTTGATGATTGATTAGTAACTGCTATGTTATTTATACACACACACTGTTCATATTTTCAAGTCCCTAATTCATTATTATTGGTCATCATTCAAGCTACAAGTGTCTAGAAGTACAGAAAGGACTTAAGTTTGACTCTGACGTCTTTACTCCAAGGTTTAGTTCTACCAGCTTGCTCACAAGTCATGGGTGAAAGTCCATAACTATGCAAGAAAGGTGAAGACAGGAAAGCCAGCAAAGGATGTAAATCCCATGATGTCCCCAAACTGTTTATGTTCCCCTACAGATTCTCACTGTCCCTCACCAATGTGATTCTTCAAACTTTCCAGAAAAATATGGATGCCTGGTGTAAATGCTACTGTCCTATGAGTACTTTTGAGAGTTAAACTAGAGTGTTTTATTCCAACCACTAACTTACCATTCCTCTGTGATAGATTTCTTCTGCAATATAGTATATTATTATTCTATACTCTAATGGCTGTTAATTTTTTACTGGTACATGAAAACATAAAAATTATACATCAATGAGATATTCTGTTACCTCTCTATTCATGTAGACATTGTATAATACTTAAATCAGGCTACACCTATCTATTCACTTATCATTTCTTTAGGGTTAAACACTCAAAACTCTTTCTGTCCGTTTTCTTTTAATACACCTATTTTAATGATCTATAGTCATGCTACTGTGTAAGAGCACACTAAAACTTCTTTCTCTTGTCTAACCCAATGCCTGTTAATGAACCTTTTCCCAAACCTGCCCCACATTTACTCTCTCAGCCTGTGATATCCACCATTCTATTATAAACTTCTAAATTCAATTTGTTTGGATTCCCCATATAAGTGGTTTATTTAGTACTTCTCTTTGTTTACCTGGCTTTTCTCACTTCATTCAATGGCCTCTATTTCCCTATACATTGTCATATATGGTAGGACCTCATTTTTATGAATGAATAGTATTTCATTGTGTATATGTATCACATTTTTTATCCATTCACCAATTGATAGACATCACTTGTTTCTATTTTGAGGCTATTGTAAATAGTGCTGAGATTACAAGACCATATAGGTATTTTAACTTAAGAATTTCATTTCCTTTGGACATGTTCTAGTGGGATTTCTGGATAATATACTACTAATTTTTAAGTTTTTAAAGAATATCAACAGTGTTTTTCTTTTTTCTACAGAGCTATCCTAATTTAAAGTCTACAATGGTTTCCTTTCCTGCCATCCTTGACACATTTATTATTTGTCTTTCATATTTTCACTGTCCTTACTTGAGTGCATTTCTCTGATAATATGTGGTGTTGATCATTTTTTCTTGTACCTGCTAATCATTTGTATGTCCATTTTACTGAGAAATGTTTATTTATGTCTATCACTTATTTTTAAATAATTTGTTCTTATTTTCATTTTGTTGTTATTGAACTTTTGAGTTTCTGACATATTTTGGGTATTAACTTTGTCATAGCTGTGCTTTGCTAATATTTTCTCCCATTCTCTAGATGATTTCTTCAATCTGTTGTTTGTTACCTTTTGTCTTGGTCACTTTTCTTATTACTGGAACATAAAATGCAACACCCACAATGAAGAGCAGGAGAAGTTTATTTTTGGCTCATGGTTTTTTGAGGTTTCAATCCATAGTCAGCCAGTTTTTTAAACTGTCTTGATGTGGCATGGATTTTCAGTTTCACATAATCACAGACTATTTCAGAACTCTATCTGCCAGCTCTGCCTTTTTCTAAGGACTTGGTCTCTTTCTTAAGTGTCCCATTCTGCCAAAACCCTCAGTTTAGTCAGCAAGTTCAGCTTTATGATAGTGATTTTATTGCTCAGGCTAGTAAAATTATTTCAGTAAATTTACATAGTTAAGTGAGATGTTAGCTCATTATGAAATCCTTTGCAGAGAATAATGCCTCTCACTATGCTCACACCACCACCGGTGCACTCCATGATTATCTTTTATCTAGGTGATTCCGACACACCCATAATTGCCACACACACACAATTTATTATTAATTTCCATACAGCAGTTAGAGTATCACCTTTAAAACATGAATTTGACTTTATCAATCTGTATCCAAAAAATTACAATGGTTTTTTCATTTTTCTCAAAGTAAAGACCAAAGGTTGATAATTCCTTATAAAGGTCTATTCAAGTCTCTGCTAATCTAACTTGTTTATTGTACTATCTGAAATTAAACTCTCCTCCTTGGACCTGCCCTGCTTCTAAGGCCGTTTGTTGTTAATGCACCAAGTATGCAGCCTTCCTGAAGACTGCGTATTGCTATTCTCTCTGCCCAGACACCCTTTTCCCCAAAAATTTATCCAATCATGTCTTTCTGCTTTTCAGGTCTCTACTCAAGTATCATTTTCAAAGCTTACTTAGTCACTCAATATTAAATTGTAAATCCCCGGTCATCTATAATTTCTTACTTATCTTCCTCCATAATTGCTTCTCTTTGTATGACAAAATCCCTATTTTACTTGTTTGTTGCCTGTCTCCTAAGCCTTTTCCCTACATACACACACTCACACACACATTCACACACACACACACACACACACACACACACACACACACACACACCATTGCCAGTCACAAGGACTGGGATCTGTATCTTATTTTGTTCCCTGCTATATTACTAGTAATCAGAAAAATATCTGGATGCTGTTATATATTGGATCCTAGTAAATATTTGTTTAATTAGTAGTGAAAACTTTGTCGATCATAATAAAGCTTTAAAATATTGATCATTTTTGTTATCGCATTGTTTCATCACTTTTATTATTGATACTATTTTTATTTTCATTAAACAGGGTAAGAAATCTATTCTTTTGATGTCTCCTCTCAGTGATTTTTCTACTTTTCCAAAAATACTGGTGATAAGAAGATAAAAAATAATGTAAAATAGCAAAACAAATAATGTTAAAAAAGCACACCAGTGCAAGAGCTAATTATTTTCATCAAATGTACACTGAAAGTATAAAAGATACAACGTAACTGCAAAATATATTCCATATCTTCTCACATTATCTTTCCATGTAGCATGACACCACTGCAAAAACATGAGTCAGGTGCTGTTATCAGAGAATAAGAATTGTATATTTCAAGGTGCATGAGTGCCCGAGTGCTAGGAGAACTTGTGGAAGGTATTTCTTAAATCACAAGAGGCTGCCTGAAAGGAACAATGAGTTCCTTCTGACAGAGGTCTGGAAGACACAAACCACACAGTCTCTTGTTACTTAAAGAGCAAATTCCCAAATGTAGTTTCTCCGTAATTTTAAAGATTTTAAGATCATTTCAATGAACACGGTCATATAGCAGTTTCCCCTAAAGAGAATTACTGCCTGCTAAAAGAAATACTATGCACATGCTTTCCATACTTACGGCATATGGGATATGTTCAGACAATTGCTAACCACCTGTCTATGTCACCATATGCCCAGCAAATGAAGCCTGTAACATTATATTCAGACTTTCAACTTAACACTTCACCTGTCTTTCACAAGGTGAAGTGTTTTTACAAAGTTATTCAGAACCTGTGAGTCTTCATTTTCTCATCTCATACAATGATTATCATTGCATCATCCTCACACAGCTTTGGTGAAGATTAAAAAGATGATTTATGTAAAGTTTCTGGCACAGAGCCTAAAAATTAGCAGGTGCTCGATAAATGTCAATTTTAATTCAATTCATCCAGATATTCTAAAACATTGAGTGCTGGCTCTGACTAGTTCACATAACCCCCAATTTCCTGTCCAGTGTGCTACCCTTCATTCATAACAGAAAACATTTTTGTGGAAACAACAGTCTGTACCAAATCAGTGATATAATCGGTAGTAATATGGATTCTCAAATGCACTCTGGAAGAGAAAATTTTAAGAAGAAAACATAGAAGTAGCTATTTACAAGAAGAAATAAGACTTTTCCTACTCACCAATGTAAATGGGAGCCATAAGTAATGTTAAGAGATTATTAAACAAGATATGGTAAACCATTTGCTGCTTTATTCCCATTCAATTTTAATGCAAATTTGCTTGATAAAGATTAGTCCGTCCCACTCTCCTACTGTGCATTTAGAGTAAAGTGAATGCATTCTTTGGGCTGTAAATGGGAGCATACAGCCTCTACTAAATCAAGGATTCATTCCACTCCCGTGTTCACCCTGAACATCTCAAAGATGGTGTCTTCCTCAATTCTTTTCAGTCAGGACCAAGGAGACCTAATTAAAAGACCAGTTTTACAATCAAAGGCAAGACTGCTCTCTTCTGCAACATTGAGATTACAAAAAATGGAGCTGCTGAAAGAAAACCTGCAATTATGAGTAGCTTTCATGGAAGAATGTAAGAAAGAAACTATTCCAGAGAAAATAAAACTAAATATGCAGCAGCCTTAAAAGATTTACAGGTGAATTAAACCTCAGTGTTAAGGTGTTAACCCAACTTTACTTGGTTCTGTTTGTTTCGGACTTTCCCATCCCTCTATAAATACTTCTTCCATAATCCTCTCCAAAATAAATTATACTAAACTCCATATTGGGCTTTGCTCCTGGGTGAATCCAAATTAAACTAGTCCGTGCCTGAGTTTTCTTAGGATTACAGACCCTCAAATTAAAATTCTGGAATAAGAGCACTTACTGGGCAATTGATAACAAGGTCTCCACTGCTGGTATGAAATGAGACAGAACCAAGGTTATTAACAATCCAACTTGGGTATGTTGATATGAGATATAAATAGAAGGCAGTGCACAGGCTTTTTGCAACATTGTAACCTTCAGAAGTCTTTGGAACACCAGTAACTATAATCATATATGAGTTGAAAGGCAGCGTCATTAGCCAAAATATTCCTAAAAGAGGAAAACAAATGAATATCAAAATTATTCTCATTTCTTTCAGGCAGAGGAAGAATGTGCTGAGAATGAACAGAAGGTTTGATTATAGGAATTGTGTTACAAAAGAAACTGGACCCATATCTCTCTTAGAAACTTACAGGGAAGGATTATGCCAGCAAGTTCTTAAACAGAAAAATCACAATTAAAGGGCAGATAAATGTCACTTGAAGAAGACCCCAAAATTTATAGGAAGTACATAATATTTCCTCCAGTTCTTTACAAAGTTACGAAAAAGTATTAATCTAAGTAACTACTAGAGAGAAAAAAATGATAATTTAAGTTTTTGAAAGTTGTCAAATAATGAATAATAGCTTAGTTATTGATATAAAGTACCATGATAGTCCTCATTTAAAGTGAAGTGCATAGAATTCCGTCATTGGAGTCCTGCCTATGACTATTTCACAACTGTGTTCACTATATTCCCAAACCTACTCCAGGGTTCCTAGATAAGAGATTTATTTAAAACTCCATAGAACCCTTCCTAGGTTGTAGACCTGTAGAATCAGAGCAATCATCCTAAATGAGTTGTAACTCAGAAGCAACACCACATCCCAGGTTGATCCCTAAGAGGTAACAGTAAAAGTGTGTAATGGTAGGAAGGTCTGTGATAGTTAGTTTGTTTGTGTGAACTTGATTTCTGGGAAGCCTTCAGGGGATTGATGAAGACCACTCCTGAGTACATCTGTCTGTGTTTTGGAGACTGGACCTTGTGCACTAGATCTGGTCCCTTGTCCTTGCCTATCTGATGCCGCTTCCTATGCTGTGCCATGAATTAAGCAGCTTTCCTCTCTTTTCCCTTTCCTCTATGATGTTCTTGCCTTGGACTCTGACGACCATGTACTCAATCCCCTGAAAGTTTAAGCTGAATGAATCAAGTCTCTTCTTAAAGTTACAGCAGTACACTATTGACTATCAGCAAAAACAGGAAAGCTGAATAATACAGTCTTAACCACATCTTTTAAATTCACCACTACATCCCTAATAAATACACATTTTGCAGTAGAAATCTTTTTAGATCTAAAAGGAAATCATTCATTTAGAATATTTTTAAACTTACTTCACAACTGTTAATCCTCCCGTTCTCTCTCACAATATAATCCAAAGGACCTTGACCACCTAAAACACTGATCACCTTGATATTCTAAATGTCAAGCCACTTTTGTTGTTTGATAATCACATAAAGCCAATCAGAATGATGATAAGAAAACTAAGTACATTGGGTGCCCTTTAAAAACACATATAGAACAGAGAGTATAAGATTAAACTCTCAGTGGTTAATGTGCTTTCCATATCAATCATCTAAGCATTTATAGTTCACAGGTGTACAAGTCCTCCCAACACAGCTAAGTAATAAACACTTGCATCCAACACTTCAGTTTTCCTGCCAATATTACAGACAGATAAGGTAGACAGAAATTAATGTATAACTGGGAGTGGTGGCACATGCCTATAATCTCAGCACTTGGGATCCTGAGGCAGAAAGATCACTGTAAGTTTGAGGCCAGCCTAGGTTACAAAATGATTCAAAATGAGCCTGAACATATAGTGAAACTCTGTCTCATAGAAACCAAACACAGAAAAAAAAGGAGAATAAATTAATATATAGTCAGATAGAAACTGAATTTTCAAGGAAAGGAAGTCAACAGAAAAAAAATAAAGACATCAGAACTGTAACTAAAGGTGCAGCTGAAGAAGACATGGCCTTGAAGTAAAGTCACAGTGGTCAGACTTGCATACTTCCCTAAGGGATAATCAGAGCTTGAGACTGTACTGTAATTAATACCACCCGGTTCTTTCAGTCCAGATATGCATCACACACCCAGTGACCAGATCATTTAGACTCACCCTTTCCCAAAATGCTTGTTTTAGAAGTCAGAGGTAAGACAGGATTAATGATGGCAGCCCTATTACACTGCACCTTGCCCCACTTCCTTACTGGATTAATATTAGCTGAGCAGCTATATTTTTACTTTTCTATTTTAATTTAAAGAGCATAAAACCAAAACATAATAAAACAGAATAAAGCCAATCAAAACAAAACAGTAAAAGTGGTACAAGATTTTAAAACAGGATAATAGGAAATAAACAATTGCCACCATATTGCCTCTTATTGTCTTCAAAATATGCTGCTCATACCATCAGACAATAAAATCAAATAAAACAGAACAGAATAAAACCAACGAAACAAAACTGAGTAAAATAAAATAAAGCAGTGAGAAAATCCCCCAGAGTTGCTATATTTCATATTGTTATCCTCTAAATAGATGCTCAGTCTACTGCTTAGTCCTGCAAAGTCAATCAAACATATGAGCATTAAGTTGTTTTTGTACCTCAGATGCTATCAACTCAGTCTGTGTTCCTCTGAATCAGCTGGTTGCTTACGGGTGGGGGGTGAACCTTGGCTCTTCTTGTCTCCCAGCTGTGTGCTGGATGGTTCACAGGAAGGGTAAATTGGTTTTCTGTTTCTCCTCCTGGCCCACGGCTGTTGCTGGCTCATGGGAAGGGTGTGTTTTGTGTCTCCTCTGCTGCTGGCTCATGGGAAAGGTGCTAAAGCTCACAGAAAGGGCATTCTTAAGCAGCTATATTTATAATCCTCTAGATTGATTTTAGTTTGATCCACACTACACTCACAGTATGACTTTGTTGTACAAATTACCCCTGACAAAGGGTTTCAGTAACAACACACTCAGGACCACTCCTGTCACTCAGGAATTATCTCTCAATAAACCTTTCCTAGTCCTAACCTTCGTTATCCTTTGGAATTTTTTTCTTTGATTTCAGGGGACAAGAATTCAACACATCTACAATCTGGTAGTTAAAAAGTTATATCTATCCTACATCACCCTTATAAAAGAAGATCCATATCTTCATATTTGCTGGGACTTTTGAATTTAGAGATAGCTATATACATAGAAAACATGTTTAAGTGGGAATAGTGTAGGTGTAAATAGTGCAAGAGTGGAATATAGGTTAGGATATCAGGCCTCCTCCATTGCCAGTATCTGTTTTGCAATCATCATAACAATGGATGGTTAGAGCTTTCAAATGCCAGCCTCTGTCCATAAAAACATACTCATCTTTCTATGAGATAGCTAAAAGTTCTAGAGAATCAATGTGCCTAGGCACAATCCTGTTAACAATGATGGAATAGATTAAACATGAATATCTTAACTTTTTACCTCTTAGATAATCTCTTAGGCATATTCTTCAATGCGTCTCAGTCATATCCACACATACTCTACATTGTCCATAGTAGGACATTCATTTATGCATTCTATATTTGTCTCTTCCTTTGCCACCCCACTAAGGGTGCTCTACAGATCATATCACAAGCAACTTACATTCAAATCTTTATCCATTTATATGCCTCCTTCTAGGAAAAATTAAACTAAACTAAAAGTTTGGATTTTTTTTTTTTTTGCTGATATAAACTAAGAAATTCCTTGTTTCCATAATACTGTTTAAGCTGAACTTTTGATACTGTACAACTAAAGAAACTTTGTAACAAAGACTAAGAAAATAGCTACTTAGTTACTTCGCTCTTACTTAGACCAAATATGAAATATCAACAAGTTAAGAGAGGAAGGGTTGGGGACTGGGGATTTAGCTCAGCAGCATAAGCACCTGCCTTGCAAGTAGGCGGTCATGAGTTCGATCCCCAGTACCTATAAAAAGAAAAAAGGAAAAAAGAGAGGAAGGGTTTATTTATTTCAGAGTTTGTAGAGATTTCAGTCAATAATTGACTGATTTGAAGGCAAGGCGGTATGACATGCCTCACAGAGAAAAAACAGTTCACAGCAGACAGACAGTAGTAAAGCAAGCAAAGGACAAGACAAACCTCTTCTTATTACTTATATTGTTCCAGACTATTAGGATTAGGGTGGTGCCAAATGAATCAATGGACTGAGTTAGTGATAAAAGATTCAGGCACATCTGAAAAAGCCCAACTGATAACCATCTGAGGCTTAGGGGGAATAGTTAGACCCAACCATAGCAATAGCCATATGTCTATTTTTAAGAGGAAGCTCTATTTGCACAATTCTAGTGAATAATAATACTTTTTAACTTTTACCAACCATGAGAAGATTATATAAAACATACATTCATCAAAGTAGAGAATCATGGTGTTACATTATTTATAATTCACAGCTCTTTAAAAAGGATCCCATATTTCCTTTGGCTATCATCATTTTTTAAAATGTAAAAATATTTTAATTAAATTGTAACTATCTTTTATTAGCACATAAGTGCAATATGTAATGTTTATATTATTTGTGTGGAGTTGGTACATCTGCATAATACACCTTAATTCCTTTTTTCAACCCCTTTCTTTAGCTAGTATTTTCTACTTTACTACTCCATTTTAAGAGTTACCATTACCCAGGTGTTTCTTTATTTTCTCATCTGCCTCATTTTACTCTCTTACACTTTATAATTTCAACTTTTACCTTCTTATATGTGATGCACATTTAATCTTCCAAGGCTCAAACCAGGTGCTCAAAAGGCAGCCAATAGGCTGAGTCTCAGTAATCAAAATTATTCTTACTCTGTCCTCAATTACCATTTACAAAATTTATTGAAGCATTACTTTCCAGTAAGTGACTTTGCCACCTATAGGTGTCTCAGTACTAAAACTGTCTGTTCCTGCTTCCCTCAGCCCTTCCCTTCATCTCTTCATCTCTTTCGTTTCCTCTCTCTCCACTGAGGAACTCATTTACTCAATATTTGAACAATATAGGTGGACTTCATTAAATTAAGAAATGCCTAGCAGATTAGTGAAGCATGCCCTGGGTGTTTCAGGGTCAATTATGGAGCATGATCTT